GCACATAAGGAGAGGAGAGCTGGCGAGTACCGATCTACATTGGGGACATCTACACTTATCAGTGCCCTGATTATCAGTGTAGCCCCATCACTGCCACCTTTCAGTGCCCATCAGTGATGCCTGGCAGTGCCCATCAGTGTTGGCTATCAGTGCCTATTAGTTCTGGCTATCAGTGCTCATCAGCAATGCCTGTCAGTGCTGCCTTTCAGTGCCTCCTCATCAGTCCTGTCTATCAGTACCCATCAGTGTTGCCTATCAGTGCCCATCAATGCTGCCTATCAGTGCCACATATCAGTGCCGATCAGTGCTGCATAGCAGTGCAATCCAGAAAGCTATATTTGTCTCAAAAAATTATAAACATTTTCTTTGGGTACAGTGTTGCATGAGCGCGCAATTGTCATTCAAATTGCAACAGTGCAGAAAGCTGAAAATTGGCCTGGGCAGGAAGGGGGTGAAAGTACCCAGTAGGCAAGTGGTTAAAGGACAAATGTACATGTGTTTCTAAGCTCATCTGTTAGGAAATCCATCCAAGAAGATTGCCATAAAAGATATACTAAAAAACGCAGTTGAGAACACATAAATCACAACTTAGCAGTCAAAAACACACATTCCTCCAATTAATACCGACTATGGGGCACTATTCCTACAATTAATACCAACTATGGGGCACTATTCCTCCCATTAATACCAATGATGGGGTACTATTCCTCCCATTAATACCAACGATGGGACACTATTCCTTCCATTAATACCAATGATGGGGCACTATTCCTCCTATTAATACCAAGGATGGGGCACTATTCCACCTATTAATACCAATGATGGGGCACTATTCCTCCTATTAATACCAACAATGGGGCACTATTCCTCCCATTAATACCAATGATGGGGCACTATTCCTCCCATTAATACCAATGATGGGGCACTATTCCTCGTAGTAATACCAACGATGGGGCACTATTCCTCCCATTAATACCAATGATGGGGCACTATTCCTCTCATTAATACCAATGATGGAGCACTATTCCTCGCATAATACCAACGATGGGGCACTATTCCTTCCATTAATACCAATGATGGGGCACTATTCCTCCCATTTATACAACGATCAGGCACTATTCCTCCCATTAATACCAATGATGAGGCACTATTCCTCCCATTTATACCAATGATCAGGCACTATTCCTCCCATTAATACCAATGATGGGGCACTATTCCTCCTATTAATACCAACAATGGGGCACTATTCCTCCCATTAATACCAATGATGGGGCACTATTCCTCCCATTAATACCAATGATGGGGCACTATTTCTCCCATTAATACCTATGATGGGGCACTATTCCTCCTAGTAATACCAACGATGGGGCACTATTCCTCCCATTAATACCAATTATGGGGCACTATTCCTCCCATAATACCAACGATGGGGCACTATTCCTCCCATTAATACCAACGATGGGGCACTATTCCTCCCATTTATACCACCGATCAGTCACTATTCCTCCCATTAACACCAATGATGAGGCACTATTCATCCCATTAATACCAATGATGAGGAACTATTTCTGCCATTAATACCAATGATGGGGCACTGTTTCTCCTTCTACTGACCAAAGGTAGCACTATCCACTTTCACCAAACCTGAAGCATTGTTTATTTCTACTGATGCTGGGGCATTTCCTAATCCCACTGGCCATAGTCTGGCCCCTCAAAGTCTAAAGGACAGTAAACAGGCCCTTCATTTAGAACGTTTGGAGACCCATGTGCTAAGGTATATACTTCAATTTCTGGTAAAAAAAAAAACTTTTGTTGTTTTGATGTGAAAGAGTATTTGTGAGAATAATTAATTGAAGGGGTTGCATTTTTGAGGGGGTGCTCCAGGCAAGATGTGATGTTTCCTTTTTTTGTTAATCATGCAGGGCTTCACACACTATTCATAAATTACTTGAAATCAATGGGTTTCCAAGAATGACATTGCCAGAAAAAAAAAAGTTTTCACAGATGACTTAGTTATAATACACCCCCTCTATGAAGTGCATATTGGACTTGCTGTAAATTATGTCTGAATAAACAGCATTGTTGGATATGATGTCACTAATTATAGAAGCATATTTCTGAAGCGACTGTCAGTGGTGGAATTAATGTTACCGGGTAATAATAAATTCATTCTGGTAGCCGCCACATTAAATAATTGTCTCCACAGAGAAGTGTCAGGAGCTCCTATTCCATGCTGTTTCTATGGAGCTGACAGTCTGCTTTCTGTAAAAGTGTCAAAGATTCAAATAAAGAGGCATCAAAACTGCTGATTTCCCAGGGCTGATTATGCATCATTGACAGCATGAATTTGAAAATAAGAGCAGTTACTGCAGGGTCCCAGTCTTCTCTGTAATGCTGGGATCCATCCTCATTTAGGACTAATTTGATTGGAGCCTATCCTACAACAAGCACCGCATAGCTCACCCAAACCCTCACCCACTTTCAGAAGACTGTTTGGCCAACAGTGGTGGAAGCTTGGGTACAATTTGTTGAACAGCAATCAAATGTATTGCCTTACTGTGGCCATATGGGTATTAATGGCACTGTACATTTGTAAATGTTTTGGGGGTTTTAACTAGGTATTAGTTTTATTATATTATTGTTCTTATTATCATACAGGTTTTATATAGTGCCAACAGGTTGCACAGAGCTTTTTATATTATAAAGGGAGACAGTACAGTTACAATACAATTCAATACATGAGGGTTAGGAGGGCCCTGCCCCTAAGAGCATACAATCTAATAGAGGGGGAAAGTGGAATAAAAGGTAATAACTGGCAGGGATGAGCTTATGGGAGACATAAAAGAATCAATAGTTAGCTGAGGGCAGGATAGGTTTCTCTGAAAAGATGAGTTTTCAGGGATTGCCTAAAAGTGGACAGAGTTACAGATAGCCAGACAGATTGGAGTAGACCGTTCCAGAGGATGGGTGAAGCTTGGGAGAAGTCCTGGAGGTGAGCATGGGAGGAGGAGAGCTAGAGAACAGGAGGTCTTGGGAGGAACAGAGAGGATGCTTTGGGTGATATTTGGAGACAAGATTAGTAGTGTAGCTTGGGGAAGAGTTGTAAATGGCTGTATACTGTATGTTGTTGTTAGTATTTTGAATTTTATTTCTTGGTCAATGGGAAGTCAGTTGGACAGTGGGACTATACGGCTCATTATACTATAGTCCACAACTATTCAGCAGAGCACTACTGGACTTTCATTGTTTGTATATATTTTATATTGCTGCACTTGATTGAATTTATGTGGAGACATTATATTTTTGGATTGTTTTAGCACTGCAATTTGTGTGTATAGCACCTTAGGATTTTGGTATATCTATATTTATTGCATGCAGCTTTATTTATTTGCTTTTTTGGATTAGTGCTGACCTTTTTTTTGCTTTTTGTAATGGGAAGCCAGTGATTGGCAGAGAGGGGTAGCAGACACTGAGTGGTTGGTAAGGTTGATGAGTATGGCAGCAGCATTCATGATAGAGTGAAGAGGGGATAGTCTACATAGAGGTAGACCTATGAGAAGGGAGTTGCAGCTGTCAAGGCAAGAGATAGCAGGGGAGTGAATGAGTTGATTGGTGGTTTCATTGGGCATAGCACAGTGGCTAAGTGATTAGCACTTCTACCTAGCAGCACTAGGATCATTGATTTGAATCCCAACCATGGAGTTTGTATGTTCTCCCTTTGCCTACATGGGTTTCCTCCCACACTCAAAAGACCTGCTGGAAGGTTAACTGGTTTCTTTCTAAATTGACCCTAGTATGTACTGTATACAAATGTAAATTAGGTACATTAGATTGTAAGCTCCTTGAGGGCAGGGACTGCTGTGAATGCATAATAAATATGTAAAGTGCTGCATAAATTGATGGTGTTTTATAAGTAACTGTAGTAAAAAAATATTTTAGAGATGTTACGATAGGGAAGTCTGCAAGATATGGACAGTAATCGGATATGAGGCTAAAAGGACAGGTCAGAGTCTCCACATTGTGACCGTGTCCAGCAAAGAATGGATGGCAGTATCCATGCACCGTTATGAATGGAGGCCATGTGTAATATCAGGAGGACCTCAGTATTGTTGATAGTTTGTGTCCATAAATGTCAATCTTTTGTCTGTCTTTTTTTTAAGACTATACTTTATTGTTGTACATCATGACTTTTATAATGGTACAAATAACCAGTGAGTTATTCACCTGTTTATTCATTCGTCTAGTCATCTATTTGTTATGGATATATTTATTCATTTTCCCAGTTTAGTCTGTATAGTCAATACCATGTAATCTCATGTATCTTATTCCATACTTGTTTTCTTTTTAATTATTGTTTTTTAGCCCACTGGGATACCCTTAATGCTGCCCTGCAACAACCTGCTTGCAGATCTTTCCCTCCACACCCTACACACATTGCACATTTTTCTTAATACTCTTTTCCCCTAGCACAGTTCCATGCCGTCCCCCTGTTTTTTCTTATAATAATTTTTATTTTCCATCTTTTTTAGACATTTTTTATTTTTTGTCCTCCTCTCCACCTTTTAATATAGTTCATTTTCTCCCTTGGCTTCCATTGTTTGGTCTTCGGGGGTTCACTTCCGTCTCCTCAGGCCGCCCCCTCTCTGCTCCTTCTTCCTATCTATTCGGCTCCTATCACTCGTTGGCATTGGTCTTGAAGAAGGAGCTCTGCACATGCTCCGAAATGCGTAACCTTTCCACGCCCATTCCTAACCCACGTCACTTCCAGTTACGGTCTCCTGAACAGCGTGCACTCCAGCGTGCGTTCCAGCGATCCCAGAACTTATGGCAGCCATCTTGGACATCTGATCCTCAGCTCCCCCTGCAGCTGCTGGCCAGGACAGCAGGTTCTCACATAGTGGATTGAGTCTCTGCACTGTAACGATTTTATTGAGCCTGTTTTAACTACAAGTTTGTAAGCATTTCTAACCATCATTATTAAAGATTCTTCTGGATATACTGCACTTAGAAGCAGGGGCGGACTGACCATTTGGAAACTCGGTCACTGCCCGAGGGCCTGGGGTCAGTAGATGGCCCCATGAGATACCCCTGGTACCTTTTTCATAGGTTTTTTTAGTTTTGGCAAGGACACAGGGGCCCCATGATCCCCTATTGCCCAGGGGCCCCATGAATTGTCAGTCCGCCCCTGCTTAGAAGTGCCTTCCTGTTCTATCCTCTTCCATATTCAGAGTTTGCTTCAACTCCTAGAAGTGCTGCCCAGTGCCTTTTGTCCAGTGTTTCCTCCATCCCCAGCTGTGGCCATATGAGTATTAATGGCACTGTACATTTTTAAATGTTTTGGGGGTTTTACCTAGATATTAGTATATTATATTATTGTTCTTATTATCATACAGGTTTTATATAGCGCCAACAGGTTGCACAGAGCTTTACATTATAAAGGGAGACAGTACAGTTACAATACAATTCAATACAAGAGGGTTAGGAGGTCCACAGCCTTCTCCATTGATATCCTCTATTTCTGCCTTCGTTTACAATATGTTTTTTTAATGTCTGCCCCTCTTCATCAAAGCCAATATCTACCCATCTATCGATGTCTCTATCTATCGAATATGAGGAATAATGTACCAAGTGTTATAAATAATTACAAATATTGCAGTATAACTGAGAAGCTAATTAAAAAAAAAAAAAAATATATATATATATATATATATATATATTCTACTGTGTGCATTATCCAATATAAGATTGATTATATTTATTTTATTTTTGTGAGAAGCAGCAAAGGCCTTCCCACGTGATAGAGCTAACTCGTTTTACGACAGTTTTCAGGTGTGATGACATTTGCCAGACTGAGCACACGAAGCATTGCAGGTAAAGTCAACAATGACACAGGCATTCAAACAGTAACATATAGAGCCCAGCCAGCTGCCTCTTTCACTGGCATTACCATATCTCAGCTTACTGTTTTACACATCAGTGCTGCTCTGTTGATTCTGTTAAGGAAGGGTCTGTGTGATGCTTGCAGTTCCTCTATTTGAAAACTTCCCACACTAAAATGTCCTCCTTTTGATGTTCATTTTCTCCCATGCCTGAGGGAAACAATCATGTGTGCCTAAAATATGCAGACAATACAGCTTATTTTTTTCCAGCAGGAAAGGCCTTTTCTATCAAATTACAAGAAATGTTTTTATGTGTAATGCACAAATCAAGATTACATGTTATTAAGTAGTCACTAGTTACAGTTATTCCATCTGGAAATATACAATGTAATTCTTCATGTAATGTAGCAAAGGAAGATGAATACTCCAACTGAAAAGCTTAACAAGTGACTCCACTTTTGTTGAGAATAAAACATTCCCTTCTGGGTGATCTATGTACATTGCAGGGATTTTACGGCAGATCTCTACCTTCTTGCTATTCTGAAGAAATAGCTGTTTTTCTGTGTCCATGTGCAAAATGAATGTGAATGGGAGTGATTTTATAAATATCACTCAGTCTAGTGAGGACAGTGTCAGTCTGCATTCCATTAGATGGGATTCCCCTTTGGGAGTATCTCACCAAAAATTACATTTTTGCTGCAGGGGATGCTCAAAATCTGACTTGTATCTTATTATTTATTTCAGGTACTTACATAGTGCCATCAATTTATGCAGTGCTTTACATATATACTGTATTGTACATTAACCCCTAACCCTCAAGGGGTGTACAATCTAAGGTCCATAACTTACATTCATACATACTAGGGCCAATTTAGAAAACCAATTAACCTTCCAGCATGTCTTTGGAGTGTGGGAGGAAACCCACACAGGCACAGGAAGAACATGCAAACTCCAGGCAGGTGGTGTCATGGTTGGGATTTGAACCAACAACCCTAATACTGCCAGGCGGAAGTGCTAACCATTTAACCATTGTACTGCCCTTAGGGCCAGACATGTGCAGTTCATTCGGATGTATCCGAATTCCAAATCACAATAGTAATGAATTTAAATGAATCTGAAATAACAAAATGAAGTTTGGCTGAAATTCAAATCAATTCGAGTTCGAAAACACATTAAAAAACAAATTTGAAAACACATTTGAATTTGTAAATAAGAATAGAATAAAATAGAACAGAAAATAAAGAAATAGAAAAGAATAGAATAGAATAGAAAATAAAATAATAGAATAAAATAGAATAGAAAATAATAGAGAAAAAAGAGCAGAATAAAAAATAAAAGAATAGAACAGAATACAGTAGAAAATATTAAAGTAAAACAGAACAACATAGAATAGAAAATAAAGGAATAGAAAAGAACAGAATTCATTAGAGTAGAAAAGATTAGCATAGAAAAGCAAAGAATAGAATAGAAAATATTAGAATAGAAAATCAAAGAATAGAATAGAAAAGAATAGAATCAATTAGAATAGAATAGACTGGAATAGAAAATATTATAATAGAAAATAAAAAAATAGAATAAAACAGAGCAAAATAGAACAGAAAATAAAGGAATAGAATAGAAACAATTATAATAGAATATAATAGAAAATATTATAATAGAATAGAAAATCAAAGAATAGAAATGATTAGAATAATCAAAGAATAAAATAGAACAGAATAGAATAGAAAAACAATAAAATAGAATAAAATAGAAAGAATATAATTGCCTTCCAAAATTCGAATTTTGACTAGAATGCTTTTGAATTTGAATGGAATACATTAGAATAGCATATTAAAAAATAGAAAAGAATAGAATAGATTAGAAAAGACTAAAATGCTTTACAAAAGCTGCGCTATGGTGACCAACAAAGGCACTGTGAAAATTTTGCTGAGATAGAACTTTCCAATATGGTCACGCAACTCTTCATATAGCCCATATTCCATCAAAAACACATATGGATTGTGGATTATGGATTGTAACGGTAGAATTATTTTTTGAATCGGTTGAAATTATTTTAGAATTTGTTAGAATTGTTTTAGAATCCATTGGAGTTATTTTCAAATCTGTTGTTTTTGAATCCGTTAAAATTATTTTTGAATACAATTGAATTTTTGAAATTCGGTCGAATTCGAATAAACAAAACAAATTCCAAAAAATTAATTAAACGAATTTAACTAATCAAACAAAGGAAATTAGTCAAATAACGAATCAAAATGAAACAAAACTCATTTTTTAATTTTGCACATACCTACTTAGTGCAGACTTCTGAGAAAATCAGTGAGCCACATCACACAAACGCTGCAGAAAAGTATGTATTGTGTTTTTGTTCCATTTTTAATGCATTTTAAATCTGCCTAGCAACATAAAAAAATGAACGAAAAAAATGCAAAAAGCATCAACAACATGGCAAAAATTTGTCAAAAATGCAAGTGCAAAAACACAAAATGCAACGCAATGCAGAAGCGGCTCAAATGCAACCTGCATAGGTGTGAACCTAGCCTTAGAAAGTATCCATTGTAACCAGAGGGCAAGGTCTGTAGTATGCAGGCCTGTTAGATCTGTATAACAGTACTGTCACTATAGGTAACAATAGATTTGCCTTACAATCTGTATGCTTGGTGTGATTGTAGCCATACTTCTTGGATCTTAGAAGACATGGTTACACCCCATAAACATGTCCTCAAAATCTAAATAAATTCTGTTGTAAACCATGGACACTTCAATGGTTGGTACAGGTGCATTTTAACCCTTTCAGTCAACACTGACTATTTTTATCCTTATGCTACTAGCATTAGTAAATACATAGGAAACTACTGTATATCGTATTACTTATTTTATTTTTTTTTACATTTCCTGTTTTCCATGCCTAGGAAAACAATGTCATACATCCCAGGAGTCTTCAGGGGGGGAGGAGGGGGTTTTCAGCTATGCACACTCTCCTGCATGGATGCCTGAGCTAAGGGCAGATGGATTCCACATTAATCATCTGCCCTTATTCAAGATGGCCACAGAAATTCGGGGGGGGGGGGGTTCAAAGTGATTTCTCACTTTGAATGGGGGAGTTTGCTCTGAATATTAAAAATGGATTAAGCAACATGTTTGGTTTGTGATGCTCAGATGCAGTGAATTTCTGCTTTACCCGCTTCCCCTCCGCGCTATAGCACAAATACAGCTACAGGGCGGCAGAAGTATGCAAAATCACACATGTATACGTGATTTTGAATGCCTGGGTTGGTGGCGCACTTGAACCACTCGCGCGTCTTACCCAAGCCACCATTCGCAGCCTCAGCTGTCAATGATCGTGTCCCAGCCGGTGATTACTCTCCGGCACCCAGTGATCGCCAAATATATCCAATGGGAGAGAGACCTGTATGTAAACAATACAGATGTCTCCCCTGTCAGCTCCTGCACACTGCGTATGGCTCAGCGTAGAGTCATACAAAGTAGTGTGCTTACAGTGAAGCACACACACAGCCCCTATAGTGAAACAGCACACAGTTAACCCTTTGATCGCCCCAGATGTTAACCTCTTCCTGCTCAGTGCCATTAGTACCATGTCAGTGATTTATATTAGCACTGATCACTATATTGGTGTCACTGGGGATGTCAGTGACATCAAGTCAGTTCCCCCCAATGTCAGAATGCAGTCCCACTATAAGTCGCTGATCGCCGCCATTACTAGTAAAAAAAAAAAATTCCATTATATATACCACCATTTGTAAACATTATAACTTTCACATAAACCAATTCATTTACATGTATTGGCATTTTTTTTTAGCAAAGACATGTAGCAGAATACATTTTGGCCTAAATTTATGATGAAATTTGATTTTTAAAATTTGTTTACTGGATATGTTTAACCACTTCAAACCCCGGAACTTTTACCCCCTTCCTGCCCAGGCCAATTTTCAGGTTTCAGCGCTCTCACACTTTGAATGACAATTGCACGGTCATGCAAAACTGTACCCAAACTAAAATTTTATCATTTTGTTCTCACAACTAGTGCTTTCTTTTGGTGGTATTTAATCACCACTGGGGTTTTTATCTCTTGCTAAATTAACAATAAAAACACGAAAATGAAAAAAAAAAACAAACGTTTTTCTTTGTTTCTGTTAAAAGTTTGAAAATAAATAATAGTTCTTCATAAATTTAGGCTAATATGTATTCTGCTGCATTTCTTTGGTGAAAATAACCCAAATTAGTATTTATTATATAGTCTGTAGGAAAGTTATAGAGTTCACAAATTATGGTATATATCTGAAAATTGATCAATCCTGAAGTACTGACAGCCAATCTAATTTCCTGAGGCCCAAAAA